AAAAAAAAAAAACCACACACAAAAAAGTTACACACTCAGAAGAGCCAATAGTATATTCGGCATTTCCAATCATGTGCAACACAGGAATTTTTGTCAACACTGCCAATGGAATGGTGATAAAAAGGCAAAATTAGAACTCCTTTCTCAATACAAAATTAAGCTGTACAAAGAAATAAGTTTAAAAGTGCAAGGAAGGGCTGGGAAGGTGGCTCAGTGATACAGTGCTTTCCTCGTATGCATGAGGCCCTGGGTTTGATTCCTCAGCACCACATAAGCAGAAAGACAGAAGTGGTGCTGTGGCTCAAGTGGTAGACCGCTAGCCTTGAGCTGAAGAGCTAAGGGACAGTGCCCAGACCCAAAGTTCAGGCCCCACAACCGGCCAAAAAAAAAAAAAGAAGTGCAAGGAAATCATTACAGTGCTTAAAAAACCAATTTTTTAAAAAAAACTTCATAAGCTAGCAAGAGCAAGCACAAGATCATACATAGGGTGGGGTACATAAGACAGTGAAGTTCTAAAATTCGGAAAGAATTAGGCACAGGGTAAACAAAATTAGCAAGCAGTCTGTAATACTTGGAGACTGAGACAATAATGCCACCATATAGAAAGAGCATTCAAAATCTAGTAGGAAGTCCTAACAGACAAAGAAACACTGCAAAGATGGTCAACTATACCAATACATTCTGATTCAATTAATTTGTTCGTTTATTTATGCATGCTGATCCTGGGGCTTGAACTCAGGGTCTGAGCACTATCCTGAGGTCTTTTGCTCAAGGCCAGCACTCCATCAAGCTAAGCCACAGCTCCATTTCCGGCTTCTTGCTGTTTAACTGGAAGTGAGTCTCCTGGACTTGCCTGGGGATGGCTTTGAACTGTGATCCTCGGATCGCAGCCTCCGGGGTGGCTGGGATTACAGGCGTGCGCTTCCGGTGCCTGGATGCCTGAGGCTGTTTTGCTCAAAGCCGGTCGGTCCTATCTCCTGAACCACGCCAGCAAGCCCTGCTTTTTGCTGAGTAACTGGAGATACAGTCAAGGCCCAATCTGCTCGGGCTGGCCTTGAACCGTGAGCCTCGGATCGCGGGCGCCCGGGACCTACCTTCGAGCGCTCGCCGCACTTTCTCCTTTTTCTCCTGGGCGACTCGCTGCGCCTCCTCGCGCGCCTTCCGGTACAGGTACTCGCGACGCAGGCGGGCTTCGCGGCGCAGCTGGAAAACAGGACCATGGCTACCCGCCCCGGAGCCCTACACCCATCCCCGCACCGACCCCCACGCTGGGGCCGGAGGCCCGACCCCGTCCCTACCATCTTTCCTTCCTGAGGGCCGCTTCCACGTGGGTCCGAGGCACCCTGCGAGCAGAGCGTGCGCCACGGAGGGAATCACTTCCGCCCTCAACCAAGAGGGCCGCCGAAGGCTTCACGGGCGTCCACGGCGGCCCACCTAGCCCGAAGTTAAGATGGCGAACAGCCGAGGGCGTGGCCGAGTGGCGAGTCGCCTCCCCCGAGCCGGCTGAAACGTGAAGACTGAGACGTCCGCCGCGGCTTCACCACGGACTACACAAGTTCGGGAAGTCCAAGGTTAACGTAGTGAGCTGCCAGAACAGCCATCACGGCGGCTCCGTGGAAGCGGCACCGCGAGTGACTAGGTCGTTACCTCCGGACCCCTTCAAGAGCTACACGTAAAGCCGCCAATCGCAATGGCTGCCATACAGCTGCGCCTTCCTCCAGCGCCACCGCGGTGGAGGGGCGGCTTCTGCGAGTGCCTCGAAGCTGCCTCCGGCCCTCGCACACAGCCAGGCCGGCCGGCTTCTCGGGGCAGCCACTCCGCGCTGCTCCGCGGCGGCCCGGCCGTTAGCGCTACCCCCGGGCCTGGCAACCGTTGGCCTCGGGCCTCCATCGGGAGCGCCTCTTGGGGGCAGGGCCTCCGCCGGAGCGCCGCTGAGAGGCGGCCCTCGGACTCTCATTGGTTGTCGCGCCGGCGCGCTGGACCGTGATTGGGCAGCTGGAACGAGGTGAGTCCGGGACCAAGAGCTCAGTGCTCCTGAGACCTGTGTGCGGCCGACCGATGGCAGCCCCGGATCTGCGGGGGGAGTTGGACTCGCTGTTCTTGCAGCTGCTCGGAGACCTGGAGGAGCTGGAAGCGAAGCGGGCGGCGCTGAACGCCCGGGTGGAGGAGGTGGGCTCCGGGAGCGGGAGGGCGGGCGGCGGGTGCCGGCCGCCGGCCGCCTTCTCACTCTTTCCTCTTGTCAGGGCTGGCTCTCGCTCGCCAAGGCCCGCTACGCCATGGGCGCCAAGTCGGTGGGGCCCCTGCAGTTCGCCTCCCGGATGGAGCCCCAGGTGCGCGTGCGTGCCAGGTGAGCTGCCTCCGGCGCCAGGGCGGGCGGGCAGCGACCCGGCTCGGGCAGTGACAGGACCGCCTTTACTCTCCGTGCTTTAGCGAGGCCCAGGAAGGACTGCAGACGTTCCGAGTGGTCAGAGCGGACACCCAGACCCCGGAAGAGGTGGGGCCCCGTGATGCAGGTGAGGTCCCAGAACTTTCTGTCAGGACCCCTCGCAGATCTCAAAAGAAAAACCACAATACAGTCGAAATGGTTGTAGTCAGGCTGTGGCGATGAAGAACCATCAAGCTGAAGGTCAAAGTATCTTGACAGATTGGCTTTGCTTTAGACTTTACTAGGAAAGATTAGAGAAGTTATAGGTGGATTGTTATACCTGGGGCAGGTTTTCCAATTAGGAGACATTCCGCTGAAGCCAAATGTTCACCTCTTGCCTATTTGGAGGAATAAACTTCTTTTGCCAATTAATCTTTCTTAAGACAAAGAATGGATAGTTGAAAGACCTGTATCCGTTTTTTGCAGCATGCTCAGACAGAATTGACAAGGTCAGTGTGCTATGATAATCATGATGAAGAGTGTCATCAAATTACAAATGAAAAAGGTGGTGCTATTTTCTAGGAACACAACAAGGTTTGGGGGGGAGGGGAGGATTTTCTAACTTTCAATTTTTTTTTCAGCATCAAGAGCTCAGAATAAGTACACTGCCACCAAGACAGTAAAGATGGAATTATAAGGCCCCAATCTCCTGTAATTTTCTCCCCCCAGCTCTACGCAGACGCAAAGGCCCTGCTAAGACCCCAGAGCCAGAGTCCTCTGCAGTCCCACAGGACCCCCTAAACTGGTTTGGAATCCTGGTTCCTCACAGTCTTAGGCAGGCCCAAGCGAGCTTCCGAGATGGTGAGTGAATTCTGCCAGTTGGTCGTGTGTGCCTGCCTGCGCTAAATTCTAGCTCTTTGTTCACAAGGAACACTTACCAACTAATATCACATTAAGGGTTTGCAGATTTTCTCCATTGCAAACTTTCGTTGCATATCTGCTGTCTTTTTTAACATTTACTGGCAGAATTTTAGATCCCTGCTAGCTGCAGGGATACAGTAAGGGACAAATAGCCTCCATGAAATGTTTATTTTGTGAGGAAGAAGAACGCAATGTGTAAATAACTAGGCTTTTCAAATAGTAGTAAACGGTTAAAATTGTGAGAGAGAGAAAAAAAGGATGGAGTAGGATAGGAGTGGGTGGTGGGAGCTGCTTTAGGAAGAGCAGTCAAGGAATGTCTCTCTGAGGACATGTGGGAAGAGCTTTATGAGTGGTCTGGGAGAACAGTGTTCTAGGCAGAGAGGAAATGCATCTCATATATTGGAGAAAGCACAGAGAGGAGGCCAACAAAGTGAAGTCAGTGCAGTGGGAATGAATACTAGGGGCCCTGGGCTGGTTGTTAGCCCTGGGTGATGTGCGCCCGGTGAGGACTCTAACCACAAGGTAACTGAACAGAAAGGATAGGGCAATAGAACAGAGAATAGGAGTGCTCAGTTGGGACTGGAGGGCAGAGAGGAAGCAGGTGTGATGAGAAGCCAGGTGTGAGATGCAAGTAGAGGCAGTGGAGATGAGGACTTGTACATATCTTGAGAACAGAAGTCCCAGCATTTGCTAACAGCTTAGTTGTAAGAATAAGGGAAGAAAATTAGAAGAGCTCATGGGCTCTACCCAGGCCCTGGGAAAGTAGAACTGCCTTCCCTTTGAATGGGTGGTTGCAGGGCAGCAGCTGAGAGGAAGAAGGGAGGTAAGTAAGTGTGATATGTCTTATCAAATACTCAGGTACAGTGTCTGGTTGCTTGGGCACATGCCTCGAGTTGGAGAGGCCTGGGGTGGAGAGACATCTGGGAGTACACTACAGACAGAGTGAAGGTATTTAAATCCCAAGTTGGAAGGTTAAAGCTGAAATGGGATTGTTAAAGCAGAGTATCTGAGAGTGTGGAATGTGGGAGAGGAATAGCAGCACCCACGGGGCAGAATCCAAGAGGAGAGGTTGTTTCCTAGAGGGAACACTTAGTAGGAAGCTGAAGATTGAAAACTGCTAGACTGTGATGTGGAGGAATAAATGGCAAAGAGGTGTTATTTCTCAATACCATGGTGACATTTTTTTCCTTTTGCTCAGGCCTGCAGCTGGCTGCAGATATAGCCAGCCTCCAGACTCGAATCAACTGGGGTAGAAGCCAGCTCAGGGAGCTCCAGGAAGAAATCAAGCGGCTTGAGCCTGGGGCTGCCTGACTTGTGTCCAGAGGAGGGCACCAGGCACAGCTGTTCTTGGACGTGGCTCTATATATCAGGCCTCCTTCCCCTTCCCATGCCCCTTATCCACCTAATGTTTCCTCCTTAACATTTTAATGACCTTGGTCTGCATGTTTCTGGCTATGTGAGGTGTAAAGTTGGAGAGGCAAACTGGGGAAAATGGAAAGCCACTTTTGTGAAACCTCTTCTATGCTCATGTTCTCAGAGGATCCCCCTCATAGGTAACAGGTACAAGGTGGCTCATGTTAGTGAAACAGTTGAAAAATTCATGTATCAGTCAAGTGTGGTCTTGTTCCTGGATGATGAAACACTGCAAACAGTGGCAGAGCAAGACAAGTAGTACAGATCCTCCATGGATGGAGGAAAAGGCGGCCATGCATAGCTGACAGATTAGGCCACTATGATTTAAATAAGTAACAAGAAAAACACCCAGCTGAGCATAGCAGTGCTTGCTTGTAGTCCCAGCTATTTTTGAGGATGAGGCAAAAGGATTTGAGAAGGAACCCTTAAGCTCTCTAGTTGGGAGATCAGCCTGGGCAACATAGACTTTGTCTTAAAAACCAAAACACAAATCCTGAGCAGATGGGCAGGCCTCTGCAGGAAGTAAACAATCTGACCTGCATTTTCAAAGGAATTCTTAGCATAGGAAGAAACTTTGCAGGTTTCAAATCCTGTCTTTATTTCACCAGCAGTACAGTACTGTGTTTCCACATGTGGAAGGACCAGCTGTATTTCCAGCTCTGGGAACCCTGTCCTTGCCTCACTTTTCTACTGTTCTTTTCTTTTTTAAAAAAGCAATTTCTAGGAGCTCTTGTCTTGAGGAATCTTTTAATCTTCTGTTTTCATTATTTTCACTGTATTTAAAATAAAACATTACATCAAGCTGCACAGGAAAATTGAATAGTTAATAAAATGAAAGATTTAGTAACAGTCCATAAGCTCTTGTGTTTTAAAAGTCAATTTTAAAAGTATAGTTGAGGTTATCAACAATTCCATGATTTTAAGATTGGGGATTTAAGGCAGTGATACGGGAATTCTCCACTGTTTTCCCTGTGAGCCTCCGTAGTTTCTGTTGGAAGTATGGTTTGAGTTCACACTCACCCTTTCTATACCATGTGTGCGCTTATACAGTGTAGAAAAATTGACCTTACCCCTTCCTGATGTCATCTTGCATACTCGTGTAAATTCTGGATTTTGACATTAGGTTTCACTGGTTTTAGTACACCGGCGCACAGGTTTAATCCTGTAGACTTATTGAGTAGCTGGGAGGAGGTGGTTTATTTATGTATTTGTTTTTTGAGGAGGGGTGGTCCTTTCAGCTTCAGTGATTAGCCTAAAGGGAGGAAAGCTTCTGAACCCGAGGAAAATGACACACCTCTGACTCCTTTGTTCCATCAAAGATTAAGTTTCTTAAAATCTTATCAACAAAAGAAGTGGTGAGGCCTTTGTGGGGAAAAATATTCCTCCAGGAGGAAGAAACTCCTGTGGCCGCCGGTCCGAGTGTACTGGCCCTGCTCTAGCGGGAGGTGGCCGGCAGAACCTTCACTGGGCAGTCGGAGCGTGGCAGTCCCTGGCGGGGCGGGGCGGGGCGGGGCGGGGCGGGGCGGAGCGGAGGAGGTGCTACGTTTCCTACGTTAGGGACTGGATTGGCAAAGACAGCACGCTCAGGAAAGCACTTCCGCCGGGGTGAAGAGATTCCAGGCCTCGGAAGTGGCTGCGCTCCGGGGAGAGGGCCGGCTTCTAAGGACTGCGCAGCCGTAGTCGGGGGCAGGTCTTAACGGGCGGGCTTTGCCATACTGTGGTTTGCTGACGTAAGTGACGTAAATAGATATACCAATCAGTCTCCAGCAGGCTTCTAGCAAGCAGTTCCCATATGGTCTAGCGGTTAGGATTCCTGGTTTTCACCCAGGCGGCCCGGGTTCGACTCCCGGTATGGGAAGTTGCGTTTTTACTTCTTGAAGAACTCGATGCTAGCGAACCTCGGCCTTCGTTCCTCTGTATTTTGATAGAAATGGCTCAAACTAAATATGAAAGTGGAAATATTAAGTCATTAATTTTGTCAGTCTCCTCTGTGGACTGCACGCTCCTACCGGCGCCCCCTGGGGAGTAAGGGAGGGAGATGGAGGGAGGGGTGAAGAAGGGGAAAGGTAAGAGGTGGAGGGGGAGAGGCAGAGGGAGAAATGGAGGAGGAAGAGGAGGAGAAGGAAGGGGGGGGAGGAGTGAGAAGGGAGTGTTAGGACCAGGTTAAATTAAACAAA